ATATATATATATATATATATATATATATATATATATATATATATTGAATACTGCTGTTTTGCAGGTTCTCCTAGGTAGAAATAATGGAGGGGTCTGAAATTGTTATCGTAGGTGCATTTCGACTGTGAGCTACACATGACTATGAATCTCCCTGGGACTGGGGCTCCATGCACAATCTCACCTGGTGGAGTCTCAATGATCCTAAGAAAGGTGAAAAATCAGCCCAGAACATGAGAGGAGGAGCTGATCAATGACCTGAAAAGAGCTGGGAACACCATTTCCAAGGTTACTGTTGGTAATACACTAAGACGACATTATTTGAAGGAAGCTTCTCCTGCTTAAACCAGCATATGTTAAGGCTCGTCTTAAGTTTGCCAATGACCGGGGCTATGTATCGAGAGATTTTGGGGAGCATCCTCCTTCCCCTAGTTAGAGCATTGAAGATGGGTGGGGCTGGGTTTTCCAACATGACAATGACCCGAACCACACAGTAAGGATAACCAAGGAGAGGCTCTGGAAGAAGCATATCGAGGTTCTGGCATGGCCTAGACAGTCTCCAGACATAAACCCAGTACAGAATCTTACGAGGGAGCCATGTCTCTTAGCGTGGACATGTACCTAGAATGACAATAGGATGACCCCTCCATGATTTCTAAGTTGGAGACTTTGTGAAATAGCAGGCTTTTAAAAAACTTAATTTTCTTACTGTATGAATATATATATATATATATATATATATATATATATATATATATATATATATATATATATTTAGTACAGTCTTTGCTTTATATGTCTTGTGCATTTACAGTATGGTGAGAGATCAGGGGAATGATCACGATCAAATAAAGTGAAAATTGAATATGGTGTCACTAGTATTCATTTGTTTTAACACAGATATCACTAAAATACAAAGATGATCATCTAAAAGGATTAGGTGAAAATGAACCAGTAAACTGCATTCCATAGGTAAAGTTTAAAGAATAGAATTGTAAATTATTAGACATAAATGAAATCCAACGGCACATTTTTTAAAACAATATTTGCACACATTGTTGAAATATGCTGATGAATCGAATAGCATGAAAGTCGGCTGTCTCCGAACTGACAGCAAACATGACAAAAAAGCAGATGCAAACCTTCTGTTTTCATTTGTGTTTAGTTTGCAGTATCACAAACAAGAACATTTATTTGTTCTGCATCCTGCAGCTCATTTAAAGAGACCTTCTTCACCTGAGCAGGTAAATCAGTGAGAGCCTTTGTGTCAATAAAAAAAGTAATGATGGGAGAAGCGGTAGAGCATATAAAAATAGAACTGCAGAGCTATACAAATTACAAATATACTGCCTTTAAAAGTTTCAGATGTTAGCAGCTAAAGAAAAGGCAGTTCTGCACACTGCCTGTGAGCTGGCTGAGAGAAGGCTGCCAATCCTTTCCCTCATGTACAAGATAGCTTAAAAAGATAAATCTGTGTCGTAGGAAATGTTTCTGATTATAAAAAGAGCAAAAACAAAACACAGTCATATTGTTGAAACTAGAGGAGCTCCGTCTAACACTCATATTTACTGTCTTAAGAGCAAAAAGACAAAAAAAAACAAAAAACAAAATATTTCATATAATAAGCACTTAAGTGTTTTCTTTATATTTCCTCTGTGGGAAAATGAAGGTATTTTTCATCGTAACAAACTTATCTTAAATTTTGCCCAGCTATGTACATTAGATGTTAGAGATTACATAACTATAATGATCAGCATGTTACATCCTTTTACAGCAGCAGGAATACTTGCTTTTCCTCTTATAAGTATAAGTAATTAGATCATATTATACTTTTATTTAAAATGATTTGTGCAAATACTTTTAAAACACGGTCCTTTTACTCATGATTATCATACCACTTAAGTCTTGAAGAGGTTCAGGCTTAAGCAGCTGTCATTGATCACGTATGATAATCTGACAACAATTCTCAGGGATGAATCATCCAACCTCAGTGGGAAAGGAAATGGTAGTAGTTTTGCAGAATGGAAATATTCAGAAACTCTGAAAAAAGAAAATTACAGAAAACGACACGCAACAAAATCAGAGACAGAGGGAGGGAGAGATGTTGTGGTAAAGGTGATTGTATCTCTACATTTAGTTCATCAGTGCAAAGTGAAACTTTGGTTAGTCACCAAATCTTCGGTAGGAGCGGCGGAATCTCATTTCCATCACACAGCAAGCTAATGATCCAAATCTTAATCTTAATATAATCCTAAATAAAAAGGGAAAATTATATGATGAAAAAGGATGCTATAGTAAGAGTAGGAAGGATCTCTATCTTTACAAAAGGGTTGAACATTAATTGGTGGAATAACTTGGATTTTCATTAGTAAATGCATTTATTCTGAAATCCGCTCAACAAATTGGACATTATGAATAGGAATATTTGTCATTCTTTTTTTTTCAAGTTTTGTTTATTATTAATTCCCTTTTCTCTGTTAAATGAAAAAGTTGAATAAACATCCTTAATCATATTTAGGTTTTTGTTCTTTTCAAATTTGCAAATAGCTTACAAGTATTTGGCCCCATTTTGTTTTTTTATAAATGGGTTTCACATTTGCGGCTAAAAATTTATTTCTTTAAAACAAAAATACAGATGAGCTGTACCTTTAAACGGGCTAAAAATCTGGTTTGTCCTTACAATGATATGTCATGATTAAATGCAGACTTTTCTCTCTTATCCATCTACAGCATTTTAATCGAGTTTACCGTCCATTCTGTCATTGTGTGCGTATGTGGGCTTCCCTGTGAAGAGGCTGATGGCTCAGAGGCAGCCGCAAGCTCTCACTACCATGCTGCGATACTTCTTGAGGATCACATTTGAGCTGTCATCAAAGTAGAGCACAGAGATGGCGTGGAGCTGTGTCGGTGCGCAGCAGGGTTTGGGAACCGATTCAGGATTAACAAAATGAACCTTGGAGGAAGAATAGGAGATAAATGATGACATGTCTTAGATGGGATTATAAGCTTTTTCATGATAAATGCTTTAGAAAATCTTGGTGTGCAATGATTATGTCTCATATTGGCCAAAAAAGTGATAAGATAAAGTTGGCAAATGCATGCTGAAATTTTATTTTAGTTGGTTTTACAGCTACTCACAAGTGTTTGCACAATAGCATGGTTTGTGGCATTCATATAGGAGTTGAGTGGGAAGGCACACTCTCCTTCACAGTAATATGCAGCATATCCTTCAGGAGCAATGATCCAGTCCTGCGAGAGAACAAAAGGAGAAGTTTAGAGAGACTTACTGGGTGTTCTTATCCTTTTAGATAATACTGCAAACTGAAAAGCCTCTGGGCACTTTTGAAATGCATGAAAAAATGCAAATAATTTTATGCTAAGTGTCTTTCTAGAGATCACAAGAAGAACTGTACAAAAAATGCAACCATAAACAAAACATAGAATGTCATATCTGTGATTTTTTTTTTTATCCCGTTTAAAATTGCTTTTATATTCAACTTTAACAATAATGACAAAATGCTAATCTTTTAAAGCTTCATATTAAACCCTTGATTGTTGTTTTTTGGCTGAATGAGTTCTCTCAGGGTTTCTAGAAATAAAGAAATTATGTTTTATTCCAGTCTCTGAAATAACAGTAATGTTTTAGGCATTGTACAGACTTGGTTTTTATACTGATTTCTACAGTGCCAAGCAATCTTGGCTAGTACCATTTTTATACCTGCCATCCTAGGTCACGGAAACTGACGTAGAGCTCATGCTTCTTGCACGCCTGCTTCTGATCAGTGCTGCTATTTTCTGAGGGAAAAAGAAAGAGAAATAAAAAAATACAATTCATGCATTCACAGTCGAAAATATGAAGTACTGACCTATAGTGGCTCAGAAATATATTCATACCTTGTTCAGGTTTTCAATATTTGAAACATCAAAATTAGATGAGATTTAAAGTAATAGACATATGCATGATAAAGTATAATGGAGAGATTGGGAACAGTTACAAATTAAATAGTAAAAAGTCCTTGCAGGGTTAATACAAATACCTTCGTGATACTGGATGTCTTTCAGGTAGAACCACAATTGCTTAACTGATTTATATTTAAAGCCAGGTTTAATCTACTAAAAATTCCCCTATCTATAGTTTTCATTGTTTTTTTTAGGAACACAACAGATACAAAGTATACCAATTTCCCCTCAGCTTCCCAATTATGCACTGCATTTTTTCCATCATTCAAAAAAAAAAATTCTTAATAAAATAAAAATCCATTGGAATGTGACAAAATGTAGAAAAGTTCAAAGGGTATAAAAAATTTTCTAAGGCACCATCCATATAGCACGTTCTTTAAAAACCTTTGCCGTTCAAACCAATAGATGGGAAATTACCTCAAGATGTAGTATGATTTTTCTATCATTATTAAAGCATTTTAATAAATGGGCCACCAAGCTTGGGGGTCAGTCAGCTGTGATTCCCATTAGATGAAACAGATGTGCGCACAATGTATCTAAACCAGATTTACAACTTAAGACTATTCATTTTTGTTCTTTTCTTCACTTATTTTAGCATTCCTTTTTCTTTTAAAAATGAACAAAAAGAGCCTGTTTTCTATCCACAAGTATCATTCTGCTCTTCTGGTGACCAGCAAGGCTCTGTGGTGCATTAGCTCTTGAAAGGCGCTCACATTGGAAATGATTATGGGAGACTGGTTCTCATCATTCCACTAAAGACCACTGGTATCCAAAGTTCCAAACAGACCCATTTGGCCCATGTGTCAAGGGCCTGGTTGCCCCACAGCGCACCACAGATGTGTTCCGCCATAAAAGCCTGAGCTGCCTTACCTCCAAGCGGGAAACTTGGCCCCAACCACTCTGTAATGCTCGGGTAAATAAACAAAGACAGGAGAGCACTATTTGAAGCTTTACAGTCTAATGTCTCAGAGCTTCATACAAACACTGCACACCTTCAAAACAAAGTTATTTAATGTGCATACTATTCTGTAACTTTTTGATGTCATTTTTGAAGAGTTTATATATGTTTACTGTAAGTACAGTTGCAGACCCAGATACTATAAATAAAAAAAACAAAACCTTTCCTCTTTTTTCTCTGTATCTCATAGATAGGTACTGTAATAGTTCTCCTTCACTTTAAAATGTTAAAGTTTTGCCATCCTACAATTGGAAACAGCCCTGGGTTTCTTAAGGTTATACACTACAAATAATGCAAAATTGAATTAATGAATATTTTGAATATTTTCATAAATACATCCAAGATTTAAAAAAGGCTGTTTTTATTGTTCAGCCTTTGTTCTGACACCACTAAATGAAAAACAAAGCAAGCCAAATCTCTCAAAAGGGACAGAATTATTAAACAGACCTACTGTGGGTGATTCAATGTCAGTATAAACACAGCTGTTCTCTAAAAGCCTCAGAGGTTTGTTAGAGAACATTAGTGAACAAACAGCATTATGAGACCTAAGGATTTCAGCAGACAAGTCAAAGACAAACTGCTGGAGAAGTTCAAAGCAAGGTTAGGTTATAAAACAATGCCTCAAGCTTTAAACATCTAATTGAGTGCTGTTCATTCTGTTTTTTGAAAATATAGAAATTATGGCTCCTAAACTGATATGCTCAGCGAGAGGCAGCCATGAGGCCAATTTGAAGGTCATGAAAAGTCCAATTCGCCGTTGCTAAAAGGCCTTTTGGCCCACATTCAAAATGTTATAAGAACATAAATCAAACCATTACAAACTAGGCAGAGAACAAAGAAAGCAAGTGGAATACAGTATGTTGGACAGATGAGACATTGATGCTAAAATCTTAACAGTAAAGTGATGCAGGACATCATCCTGAGCAGACAATATCCACTGTGAGTCAAATTCTGGCAGCATCATGCTGTTGGTATGCACCTCTTCCTCTGAGATAAGGAATTTCAATGTTGATAGAATAGAGATCTGAGCTAAAAACAGGAGGAACACTTGTTAGAGGATGCAGGAAGATGGATGATTTAGTGTTTAGAATGCCCCTGTCTGGTCAAACAAAAGGCAAGTCAGTAACTGGGGTAAATCAATGGTTGAAAATGAATGGTGCCTCAATTTAATCTAGTTGAGCTTGATGTATACAGCAAAAAGGAACAGGCAAGAACAATCCTATCTTTGATGTACAAAGCTGGCAGAAATACTTTAAATGAAATTATCATGTAAGAAAAAGAGAAGTGTTTTAAAGGCTAAAAGCAAAGCATTGCTAACTTTTATGCTGTTAATTGTTTGAAAAGATGACAACACTCCTGCACTGCAAAAAATGTAAATCTAATTAAGTCATTTTTTCTTAAAATAAGTGCATTTTTTCTTGAATTGAGGGGGTAAGTGAGACATCTTGCCAATGAAATGAGACAATTTACACTTAAAATAAGAAAAAAGAACTGCATTATCTTATTTCAAGTGCATTATCTATAAACTTATTCTAATAGTAAAAATACTCATTCCATTGGCAAACGATCTTATTTTCCTGCTTTAAATTAAGAGTAAATTCACTTAGTTTAAGACATTTTCACTTATCTCCAGATCATTTTTGCAGTGTGTCTTCTTTCAACCCTGGTTATTAGCTACGTCTTGTTTAGCTCGTATGAATATTACAGTATGAATTTATCATTGTACATAACAGATACTTTTTATGTTTACCTGCAACATTGGCAACTCTAAGTGCTTCTTGGTTCCTGGAGCCTTTGGATCTGTTGGGGTTGCGTTGTTTGCCCCCTCCTGAAGCTGAACGGATGCTTCGAAAGTGCACTTCCGTCGCTTTGAAGAAGGCCACCATGAAGGGCTGTTTGTTCTGAGGTCCAGTGCGACCAATCAGCCCACCCAAACGAGGATTAATACTCTCTCCTGTAGGGGAGACAAAGAAAACTGTAACATGTCTGTATGTCATTTTGTTGTCCTATAACGTTAAACCTCTTATATCGATTACATGCTCTGCTTGTGCCTTTTTTTTTCTACTTGTGAAGATCACTGAGACTCATCAGATCAAAACAGATTTAAAAAACAAAATTCCCCCTAATGAAATCCTTTCCTTTTTTCCACTTTCATCTTTTTTTTCACCTACTCTTCAGCCGCTGTTTGTGAGAGAAGGTTGTATGCACTTGTTTGTACATGCTCCACTATAAAGCTTCATACTCAGTCTAACCTACAATCATTCATAGATGAATCCGATGTACCCAGCCCATCCTTTCCATGACTTGAAAGCAGTTTTGTTCACTTGACATGTAACATCCTGTCTTCCTGCAAAAGATAGTGTTTTGTATACTCTTGTAGAGAATGCTGTTTGTTGAGAAAGATTTCTGAAGGCAAATATTTGTGCCTCCAGATAACTAACGCTTACTGAGATAAAGTGTATTTTCCGCATGCCTGCTAATGATGCTACGGGTATGACTGATGATGATGGTGATGAATGATGAGGTGATGACAGATGAAAGACAAACCAGTCTGATATATTTGCTAAGTGTACAAACACACATCTCATCTGAGCTTGGCTTCGTTGTGTTGTAATGTCAACCCTCATGTTTGTTGGACTCCAAAATGATGGACATAACACACTTGGGTTTGTTAGGTTTAGACTAGAACACAGCTGGAGCTCTTGGAAATGTTTATTTGGAGCACTTTTTATGGCCTACTAAGTGGAAACTGGTTACCTCTTTAACTTAAGATAAGTAGTTCAGGCCAAAAATATTCAGGCACTATCTGCAAAAGTTGTTTACAAGAACTTTTAAGAAAATGTAAAGGTTTTCATGTGGATTTAATCTAACTAAACATTTGGCATAGTTTCAGCTGAACTGAATATGTTCATCGAAAAACTATTTCCCCTTTTTCTGATTCAGAGTGCTGCAATAAAAGGTGTTTGAGGGTGTGGGTTCTAATTGGACTACAGTTATAAAACTAAGCCTAGCATAGTTGCATCTTGTTATTGCATTGGTTTAATTCAAATCTCTTTGAGAGCTGCTGTTGGACAAAAGGACTTGATCGAAGACCATATGCCAGACCGAACTGAGCCAAAAACTCCCTTCCAGTCCACCAAGCCAAAACAGTAACATCCATCCTTCCCTCTTTCCATCTTATGTTTAATGAGTGCTCCACTGTACTCGGGTGTACCGTTTAGTCTTTGTTCAGTTTTAAGATACAATAATCCTGTTTGATTATTTGCTTATTCACCTGTTTTGCGTCACTCAAAGACACAATGATTGGAAAAAAGAGATCTCAAATTTGGACTCATCAGACCAAAGTACAGATTTCCACTGGTCTAATGTCCATTCCTTGTGTTTCTTTAGCCCAAGCAAGTCTCTTCTGCTTGTTGCCTGTCCTTAGCAGTGGTTTCCTAGCAGCTGAAGGCCTGATCCACACCGTCTCATCTTAACAGTTGTTCTAGAGATGTGTCTGCTGCTAGAACGCACTGTGGCATTGACCTGGTCTCTAATCTGAGCTGCTGTTAACCTGTGATTTCTGAGGCTGGTGACTAGGATGAACTTATCCTCCGCAGCAGAGGTTACTGTTGGTCTTCTTTTCCTGGGGTGGTCCTCATGTGAGCCAGTTTCTTTGTAGTGCTTGATCAATTTTGCGACTGCATTTGGGGATATTTTCAAAGTTTTGCCAATTTTTCGGACTGACTGAGCTTCATTTCTTAAAGTAATGATGGCTACTCGTTTTTCTTTACTTAGCTGCTTTCTCTTGCCATAATACAAATTCTAACAGTCTGTTCAGTAGGGCTATCAGCTGTGTATCCAACTAACTTCAGCACAACACAACTCATGGTCCCAGCCACATTTATAAGGTAAGAAATCCCACTTATTAAACATGACAGGGGACACCTGTGAAGTGAAAACCATTTCAAATGACTACCTCTGGAAGCTCATCAAGAGAAAGCCAAGAGTGTGCAAAGCAGTAATCAAAGCAAAAGATGGCTACTTTGAAGAACCTAGAATATAAGACGTTTTCTGTTGTTTCACAATTTTTTGTTAAGTATATAATTCCACGTGTGTTAATTCATAGTTTTGATGCTTTCAGTGTGAATCTACAATTTTCATAGTCATGAAAATAAAGAAAACTTTTTGAATCAGAAGGTGTGTCCAAACTTTTGGTCTGTACTGTATATGTATATATACTTTTTTTAACCACTTTATATATAGGTAAGCTATATAATAATAACAACTGCTGAGGTATTACCAGGCCTTGTATGAGGTAACTAAAATGACACCCAGCCATATTAAGTTAAAACATTCATGCACAACCATCCATTCATTCTTCTGCTTATTCCGTCAGGGTCACGGTGGAGCCAGTGCCTATCTCCAGCAGTCCATGGGTGATAAGGCAGGTTACAGATGTCGCCTGGGATGTTATGCAAGTGATGCAGTTCATACTAATGCCAAATACATAATACTGTGGGTAGGATGAACAATGTACGAACAGGTTGTTGTCTTGGTTTTACAGCTCTTACAAGCATGCTTAGTTTGAGGGATTGCATTCTAGTCAATGAATCAATGCAATCAACTGGTTTTCCTTAGATAGAAAACTTTGAATAAATTTGACTGTATGATCTGGTGAACTGTAAAATGCCTTGAGATGATATGTACTCTGAATTGGAGGTATATAAATAAACTGAATGGAATTGAAATCATAGTGAAGGTGCAGCATTATTTATCTGCTCCTCCTGTGGACCGAGCCGAGGATCCCCTGAAATATTGGACATGGCAACAAACTTTATCCAAGTCTAAACCACCCAGCCAAACGGTACCTTACCCCAGCTGCCTCCTCTGTTACAGTACCTGTGAAAAAGTATTTCTCTAATTTGGAGAAATTGTCTCAAAAAAAGGGAAAAAAAAGTTTGAGCCTAGCTACTGTGACAAAAAAAAAACACTTTTCTTGAATAGAATCACCTTAAGTAACACAAGGACCTTCTTTATTTCACCAAGCAAGCACAATGTCCAAAAACACAGAGTACACCAAACACTCTAGACATGAATGACAAATCAAAAATGTTCACATTTTTAGGAATTGTTTAAATAGTAAATTACTCAGAATTTCAATGAGATAGGCTACTAAAAACACATACACAGCACATACATACATGTTATTATATATAGAGAAGCATCGCAATTTCAGGATTTCATTTGGTGCAGTAATTGCTACTGCCGGTAGATGCTACCCAAAGGAACTGAATGAATTCGGGTAGTAAACTACTTGGACACAATAATTAAAAAATGATTAAATGCTTCAAAAAGCCTTGATTTGCCATCCCTACCTAATTAGGCCCTCTACTCATCATCACTAGCTTTAATAATACACATAGAAAAACACTAAACAAGGAAAGACAGGTAACACTGGGACAGCAGGAGTGGACAGCGGAGGGAATCATTAAAGAAAAAGTGATGTGCCCAGCAAGCTTGAACACTGAAGAAAAGTGAAAAAGGCACGAAGCCATGGTTGAGAGATTATGGTAATTGGCATGCACAGGTGCGCAGAAAGATCCTAATTGCCAAGGTGGCAGTGCAGAGGAAAGGCTGGGCAACAAAGAAACCAGGACCAAACAGAGATGCAGATCACTAATTAAAGAAGGGAAAGATAAAAAATAAACCATATTGAAAAGAAACACAAACAGGGCATAATAAAATAAGCAAAGGTTATATATAAAAAAAAACATGCATGTTGTCATAAACACTGATCATTGTGAAATGAAGGACATCATAAAAAAAGAACCATAAATAAAAGCTTAAACTTAACACTCAAGGGTTATGGCATCATAGGCACTTTTTCATTCAATTTTCAGCTGTGCAGATTGTGTGCTCTGCCTGTCTCTCTACATCTGGGGTCTCAGATTCAAAGCCTTAAGGGCCTGCTAGTCTTAGATCTATCACCTCCCATAAACACCTGAATCGAGTCGTTTGACCACCACATACAGTAGAAGCAGTGAAGCTCTGCTAATGAGCTCATATTGGAGGCAGGTGGGTTGAAGAAGAAACACATCTAAAAGTTACAGGATGCCAACACTCAAGGATTTTAGTTTGACCACTGCTTCTACATTGAGGAACCCTTCTATAGGTTATATTGTTCAGAATGTTTTACGATTTTAGCTTTCAAATATTATCCGTATATTACTTTATTTGTTTTCTTAAACATTTTTCTAAGCGCTAAATGTGAGCTGAATGCTGCTTACCCTTTGAGGTCTCTAAGGCCAGCTGCAGACCGAGGTTTCTGCCAGGGTTCAGAACCCAGTGGTTACTAGTTGCCGTAATGTCAAACACCAACCAGCCCTCTTCTGCTGCCCAGATCACCCTTGAGTCCAGAAGAAAGAGATCTGATTCCCTGAGGGGGACATAGAAAAAAAAGAGTTAGAGGTAGATATGGAGAGTCATGTGGAAAATGAACCAAAATGACTGAAGAAAAAAGTCATGGATGGAAGAGATTTACAGAGTCGGAGTAGTGTGACAGTGAAACAAAGAGAGTGATGGAGGGGAGGTGAGGAGGGCTCCAGATGGTGAGGCCCAGGGGAGCACTTCATTTTGTTAATTGACAATAATAGCTTTATAACTGTGAGGTCTTTTCATATAGCACACCCTGTTCATCACACAGTGGAATTTAGTGAGTGAACCAGGGCAGGAATGGAAAAGCAAAAAAACATTGCTGTAAAAAAGAAAAACAGGGAGAATAGTAGTGTAGGAAATAGTGCCTATACTAATCCATCCTATTGTCCAAAATTGAACTTTATGGTATATAATCTTTCACCATTGAAATCTCTTGTTCTTAATGTGGGCATTCATGCATCCTGACCTATTTATGACTGAGCAGATAGTGTGTCACAGACTCCTGGTCTATTCATGTATGCAGGCCTTTCTCTGGCAGAGGAATAAATGACTGTGTTGTTCCCTCCAGATAACAGAAACCTTTAGGAGAAACTGGGGATAGAGTCATACACCTTCTTGCAAAGCCTTATTTAACCTAGAAAGATTTTGTGTAAAAATCTGACTAAAATCAAGGCTTAGTTTAAAAAAAATATTTTGTTTTGAGTTGAATTATATAAGGTCTAAGACTGTGTTAAATAAAAACCAAATTATAAAAAGTTTAAAAATCACATCCTCAGTAGCACGAAGTTTAATGTTTAACAATAGTACCTGAAAAGCCGTTTAATTTTTAAAAACAACCATTGACTAAAATGCTTTTTTGGTTAATTGGTTTACATCATCCTTATCTTTAATAAATTCTTGAAAAGGTTAAATCTTCTTGTCAACATAGTTCCTATTAGCCTGGCCAACCAGACTGAGGCGGACTCCCAAAATAAGCATTAATCCTCTATTGCACGTTCCCGCAGATGTCCTTCACATTAAGGACCATCCCAAACTATGTGATTCTTCTGTTTTGGGGCACGTTTACTCCTGACCCATGCTCCCTGTAATCTGCTGCCCTAGTCCATTGTCCTCCTGCATTAAAATGTAGTGCTCCCCCACACTATCTTTGAAAATCTAAAGGGTTTCAATATGTCCCTCTGCCTGAACATCCTTTTTGGACTATCATGTTGTGTGACTTGTTCACTCACTTTACCTGGAGGCAAATAGGTCAATCAGTGAATAAACAGAGTTTGAAAGTTGTAGCTCTTTAAACCCGGAAGTTGTTTCACCAAATAACACAAATTAGAGCTCACCTGTCCGAATGTTCCTCTAACACCTGGTAGACGCTGATCTTGAAGGTCTCATTATCATAACTTTCATGGATGAAGTCTTTGTAAATACGAAACTCAGCAGCGGTGACGGCTTCACCTTCTGGGATACGTGACAGATCGAATCTGAACTCTCGATGATGCCGCCGCACTGGAAGGAATTCCTTATCGTGCTCCACTGACAAGAAAAGCACATAAGAGAAAATAAGACAGCGTACCCAAGCAGAGGGTAAAGCTCCCCTTTATGGGTTATGAAACAACCAGGAGCTTATGTGAGTTTATATAAAGCAAAGCCTTTTGTGTGGTCACACGTTACAATGTCTTGGGCAAGAAAATTGATGCTTTGAGGCAGACAGTGATGATATTTATTCTCTTTAAACCTTTGTTGTTATTAAGAACCTAACATAAGCTGTAAGACTCAAACTCTGTGCCAGATTTTACAGGTCCATGAATATGCTGTACATATGTTGGCTGATGGCAGAAACATTCACGAAGCATTGAATTAGAAGCAATGCATCTGGCACACACTGAAGCATGATAGAGAGATGCAAGCAGATTCTGACAGGTTTATGAGCCGCTCTCCTCCCTTTCTTTTCCTTTCATAGCCCCAGAGAGTCATTCAGTCTGTCCTTCATCTGGTTCTCATGAGTTGGGGGCTTCATGTTTGCTGTACCTAATCTCCTCTGGCTCGCCATTGCCACATCCATGTTTTCCAGTCCCTCCTGCAGCCTCAAGAAACCCTCCTTCCTTAACCTTGCTCCTCTTAAGTCACAGCAGGACATCCCCAGAACAAACGCTTTTTACCGACAGATAGTCAGCAGTTAATCATTCTCTCTGTTTTTCATTTCTTTGTGTAAAAGACAGCAAATTTGATATTCCTCTTGACCTCATATTTGTGTAATATTATTTTTTTTTTTTTTTCAAATTTCATCTATGTAAGAAAATATACACTACAATATAAAACTCATCTCACATTTCTTTAGATTTCACTGTCAAGAGCTAAAAATTCCTTCTATATTGAAATGACTTTTTTCAATTTCCTGCACTTTCCAAAGGTCTTTGAGTGTTATCTTCATCTCTTCATTTATTTACCCAAATCTAAACTTCCTTAACAAGCAATGCTTGAGAACATATAAAAAATGTGAATTCTGCTAGCTATGCAGTCTTTAATAAATCATTAATCATAAATACATAACGACGCTGAGGTACAATGAGAATACTTTTATCTTCTCATCAGTACTTCTTTAGCTTAAAGAGACATTATGTTAAATTTTACCGCCTTTGTTCTGTCCAAGGCAAGGCAAGGCACGACAAGGCAAGGCAAAGCAAATTTATTTGTAAAGCACAATTCAGTACAGACAATGCAAAGTGCCTTACATGAATAAAATATAGGAAAATAAAACAGAATCAAAGCAAGTAGGAAAAAATGAAAAATAAAAAAATGCAGAAACAAAAAAGAACATTAAAAACAGTTGGACTAAAGGAAATAAAAAAGTTGAACTAATGATGTTTCAGTTGAACTGTTTAACTAGAACAGTTAAAGGCAATGCTAAACCCAAGGTTAGTTATAAATATGTCCTAATATTTTAGTTTACAAAGAAACTTCTACAGTATTGCTTTATCTGTATTTTATTTTGAAGGCGAGTTTTGAGGTAGCAGTGCATTGTCAGTAGCAGAGTCAGTGGGAACAGGTTATTGCAGAGAGAAAGCATGCCTATTAATTTAGAAACTTTGCCTCCTGTCATCAATCTGTGTTCTGTTTGGTGCTATATATTTGATTAGAATTCATTTAGAGATCGTTTTTCAAATGTGTTTATTCCAGTAAATAGCCGTGTCCCAATAGTTTTTTTGCACAGTAAAGATCATAACTGTTTATTATCAACAGCTAATGTTAATTGTATTTTATGCTTCCTGACATTACAAGTTTATTCTCTGCTTGTAGAGCTGATGCATATTTTATTTTTTGTTTCTGTTTATATTTTCACTCAAATCTTTCATTGAGCTTCCCACACAATTGTATAGAATTGTAAGAAGACCGTAATAAAGGAGCAATACGCTCAGTTTCCTGGCTCATGAAAACATGAGCATGGCTTGCTGTTAATCTGCATTAACATACACGGTATATCCAAAACGTAGTGATAACAGTACAGCCTTTTTCTTTGACCCTTTACGACTAAAACAGTAGGCTCTCAGTAGATCAAAACCATTGCATCTATAAGCCTATATCGTATTTGCTAGAAATTACTTCAGAAGTTTGGTGCTGTTGGGCGTAGTTAGTTTGCATGACCCATGTACGAAGGCCTTCGTCCTCGACGCGGGTAACCTGGTTTCAAATCCGACCTGTGGTCCTTTGCCTGTCAGCCTACTGTCAGGAAAAACAAGCCACTAGTGTCGTTAAACCTCAAAAAAAAAAAAAAAAAAAAAAAGGTTGGACGTGACGTCAAGTGCATCGATGTTAAAAGGGACGACCAGAGCAAATAGCTGAGGCGTTATATTCAATATGGATTTTGCAGATATTTTGAAGTGACCATCATCCGGCTCAACTCAGGGCTGCAGTTCTGTGTTATCGCCACAGGTGGCCGTATGATTAGAAAACTCTGTAATGCCTCTTTAAGTTCACACATTCTGTAAATAAGGGTTATTAGCAAAGGCTTTGCCATATCAAAGAAAGTATGTTTTTTTTATTGGACAATACATCTTGCTCATGTCTAAACATTAAGAAAAAACACATTGCGTGGAACATAATGTCATATCATGTTTAATAGACATACTTTAATAACAGACTGACACAGCTCATTGGCTAATTTGTATCATGTGCAGCCTGGTCCCGATGCTCCGAGAGGCTTTACCATATTAACAGGAGAAGCGGGGCATGTGAAGTTAGACACTGTCGTCGGACAACATGGGGTAATTTATAAATGTTTTAAATCTGGTTGGGTCTGGATTAGCCAACAGGTGGGTCCGGATCCGGACAGCGGACCACTAATCCGTGACCTCTGGTATAGGATGTTGGAGCAATATTTATTTATGACAGTGTATACAGGGATATAAGAAAGTGGGTTAATTCTGAAGATTTTTGTACAAAGTCTTGCAATCTGCTTTGATTCTGCAGAATTTGATCAGATTGCATAGCAACACATGGATGTTCCATATTATCGAAAAATGAAAGTTTTTCTCTTCTCTTCTCTTTGCAAACCAATGTTTGGTGCTTTTCCAAAGGCACAATCCCGATGTAAAGGCACCTTCAACAGTAAAGTAGGAGTCAGCAGTGTGAATGATGTATTTGGATCAAATTGTCCGATCAGAACAGAACCACCATAGGCGCAGTGGCTGGCAGATTGTTCGCGAGAGAGTGACCTAATGATAAGAGCCCAATTCCAGACAAACCACTTGAAAAATTAGCTGTGTTTGTATTTGGTGTGAACATACCTTAAGATTAGTTTTAACTTAAAATGCCATACAAAACTACCACTTCTTGGCGATCTTAAGATCGTTTAAGTATTTAATGTATTTGTTAAACTTCAGCTTAACCTAAATATTTACTTACCAAGAAGGTGTATATACAGTATCCATATATCTTTAACCAAATAAATGTTATATATTAAGGGTTTATTTAGCCTTTGCAAACACAAAGATTTAGAAAAATAGCAAGCCCTAGGCATTCCAGGGGCTACTGAGAGACACTGTAACAGACACAGACTCATGTTCAGTTCCATCAATAGCACATCGAAAAGACATTGTCTCCTCTGTTGGTAAACTGATAAGTAGATAACATTGAGAAAACTTCATAACACTCACTTTAAGAGATAGACTGATACAGGGTTTTTAAGCCAGTGCCATTGAATATGACATAAGTCTAGCTGCTTTTTCGGGTGCCAATTTTAAGGTTGTTGCTTTCTCTTCCTCCATTTACCAAAACAATAAAAAAAAAGAAATCTCTATATTATAGTTGAAACGATCAGATTAATCGTGATTAATAGATTTTTGAAATAATCGTCAACTAATTTAGTAAACGATGAATCGTTAACTGGAGTGTAGAGACTCCACAACATGCCTGTAGTTGACAGAGGAACCCACATTGAGCTGTAATTATGCCAAGATTGTAAAAAAAAATATATATAAACAAAAAGTTTGGTCTCTCAAAATGATCTATGTAGAATTCCTCAAGTAGAAAAGTTTCAGCTTCACCTTGTTTAATTTCGTAAAAAATCTCCTTTAAGGGACCTTTGGACCTATCAGATTATTAGGCGAAAAAATAATCGCCATATTAATCAATTTGTAAAATAATCATTAGTTGCAGCCTTATTCTATATACTGTACAAATCAAATCAAATACAAATCAATTGATAGTAGTTGGCATGAGCCGCAATGCATTCACTTCATTGTCATCTTCAGGTATGGCTGTTAAAAGCTCTAATGCGGAGATCTTCAACAGGGGTCCGCGACCCCTAGGGGGTCCATGGAGGTACTGCATGGGGGTCGCGAAAGCTTTGATTGATAAGACTTTTTTTTTATTTTCCCCCCTTCAATTTTTTCCACTAATTGAAATGCCTTTAAATACACATTAACATGAATTTAACACACTGTAGTAAACAGATAAATGGAGGCAGAAGATGTATTTCAGTCATCAATGCTCACATTCAGCGACAAACAAGGGCTTTTTCAAGCTGGGCACCGTTTCATTCACAACACCTGTCCCATCAATGAGGACTCAGAATCAGAAATACTTTAATAATCCCAGGCTGAAATTACTTTTGTTACATTACTACATCTGTAATAGAGTGACCAGCTTGATATAACACAATATCATATAATATATAAAATTAGTGGGTCCCCGCTCCATCTTGCCATCAGTTTGGAGGTCCTTGGCCTGGAAAACGTGAATACCCCTGCTCTAATGAATCGGGAAATTCATGCACATATCAGTTAGCAAAATACAATAAAAGAAAAAAATATTTGCAAAAAAGTATGGTGCTTTATTTAGTCAAATGTGTTTTTTTTAGCCTTATGGTCCTCTTATTTTGAATCTGCTCTTATACTCGTCCCACCTCTTGTCTCCCAGTGCAGGTGCATTCCCTCTGTTTATAGAGTCAGACCTGTTCTTAGCTTACCAAGCAGACTCCCACCTTTTACATTAAAAATTGTTACTTTTATTCTTTTTTTGAATATAAAATGGCT